CCCAGTCTGGCAGCAGGCAGATATTCTGCTGGAAGTTAAGAATAAGAATGAACCCAGTGATCCCAGCTGTGTCAAGAGTCCAAGATGAGAGATCCTGTTGGGCACCTGAAGAGACTCCAGTCAGTCCAAGCTTTCATTCTGTGGCTGCAGCCACATAAATACATCTTTACGTCCACAATAGGGGAGAGGGTTCAGCAGTGCAACTAACACCCTGTTTAAGGGATGCAAACTTCCAACTCAATACATTCAGAGAAATGGAAAATTCCAAGTGATATCCTTGCAAGTGTATTCAGCCATACTGTCTTTTAAGTGTTGACATAATCTCTCAGCTGTTTGTAATGTGAAAAGATCTACCTTGGGATAATATTAGTAATGTCTCTTCTGTGTTCTCCACCCATGGTTTCGAAAATGGGACGGTTTTTTTCTTATTTGTTCAGGTTTTTTTACAAAAGAAGTTTCATTAAATTAATTCTCTATATTGAGGCCATTAAATCAAAGAGGTGATGTGCTTAGAAAAGATGTACAAAGTAAACCTGTTCCACTAAACCCTTGGTCCAGGGTTTCAGTCTCCTGTTCCACTCAGAAGTGATTTCAATGAGTAAAGCCCTACACATAGGTGACTGAAGGCTCACCTTTGGATGGGGGCCTTCCTGACCCGAAGGAAGCTTGAAATTAAGATTAAAATACACGAAATGCCACGGACATGCTGACAATACTGGTGCTCACCCACCTCGATGATCATTCTCCCCTACAACTATCAGGCTACAAGCATACCAGTTCCTTCCTTCCAGGTCTCCATCATTTCCATCTTCCTAGCTCATGGCTAGACTTGGGAAGAGTAAAATCTTTTATTATCTTTTACGTGCTGCCTGCTTTGCAGCGAGGACCCAGTTCAAACACTCTAATAAAGGAACCCAACAGAAGATTTTAAAGCTGTTGATGTGTGAGTCCTTTACTGGCTGCTCTCAGGTCAGGTTTTGGCAGCTGCTGCCCACAGTTGTAGTGGGAAGCAATTCCGGGTGCACTGTCAGAGCAGTGCTCAGTCCTACAGCTGGGGATTCATCCTTCATCTCCCACTTTTTTCCTGTGTTCCTTGCCCAGCCATGAGGCTACTGTGCATGGAGACAGCTCAGCAGCTGAGCTGCTGGTGGTGAGCGTTACAGAGCAGTTTAAAAGCCTTGTGTCATAAGCCCTGTAAATGCCTAGTAAAACATGGAATTTAATGAAAGCATATCAGCTCATTTTAAAGCTTCTTCACCTGGTGCTGAGCTAACTGTGGCTGTGCTGCCTTTTTAATCAGTTACCACCAAATGTGTGCATGTGTGAGAAGGGTTTTAAACATTTCTGTGTCCACTTCCAGGCAAGGAGCCGACAAGCCTACAATCCTCTTATTACGCCTTCGAAACAGAGTCCGTTCACTGTTATCTGCAGCACACACTATCGCAGGGTATTCTGCAGAGCCAGGCTGACAGAACACATCCCTAATGTTTCTCACACACCAGGCACATATCAGTTAGACACAGACCCACCAGGCACACACATACCTCTTAAGGAATGTATAACAGGACATTCAGGAAGCCACACCTGATGCAGTGCTTTGCTTCCAGGATGAAAAAATACAAGAGACACTCCAGCAGAAACCATTAGAGATTGTGCTAATTGAGGCCTGAGACATTCATGCAATCATGGTAATTCTCTATGTTGGAAGAGGCCAGAAATTCAACACTTTTATTCCGCCATATATGCCACAGACATACACCCCCTTAAAGAACATCATAAGACCAATCAGAACAGGAGGGAAGATCCTTCCCTCCTGGATTTCATTTAAATAATGCAGCCTCAGTGCCAAATATGTTTTTATAGACCATGCCAGGTGTGATCTTCTAAATTCTGAACAAATTCATTTAAAATACATTCAGTCATACTAACTGCAGGAATTTAAAACTGATTTTCACTTCTAATGATGCCTTCCCATCCTTTTAAAAATTTTTCTTACTTTTCTTATTAAAAAAAAAAATTACTGTCCACACTAACAATGTCAGAATTCAAACACTTATCTGACTGAAAGTCTGTCTCCCATTTTCATGCATGTATGGTATCCACCTATCTCAAAAATTACAAAGTATGTTTCCATCACCCAAGTCTGAACAAAATGCATAATCTTACCCAGTGTAGAAACATATCTATTACATTCTCATACAGAGGTTTTCATGGATCATAGAGTTAGCATGTAAAACCTGGAAAACACAAAGAGATGTATAAAACCCACCAATAAACCTAATCCTTTCATATAATGACAAGAAAGGGTGTAGTGATCTTATTTGCTGCAAATACTGTAAAGAAAAGAAGCCGACAGGTATAATTACATGCCACCAGTGCAAATACAAGGCTATTCAGAGTTTATTCAGTTTTCTCACCTGTCAACAGGAATAACATTAGGCTAAATTAATATTCCTATAGAACCTGAAGATCCTAATTTGTTTGTTCTCTAAAAGGAGCCAGTATGGCTAGTTCTGAATGGGGAGTGTCATCTGCTTTGTAGTCTCTTTTCAAGGCCAGGGGTCCCCTGAATTTGAGGCTGAATCTCAGTCTCCACTTCCTAATCCAACATTAGAAGCTTTGAACAATCCTAGCCTCCCTTATCCTGTTTCTGTACCAAAGAAAACAAACAAACAAACAGACCAACCCATGGAACCCAATAGCATCACAGTGGGATGAAAAAAGTCCTAAGAAATATATCTTTGAAGGTAGATTTCCATAATATTTGCCCTATCAGTTCACAGTTCTTAGGCTCATTGTATTTTCTTAATTTATTTGCTTGACTTGCTGCCTGCATGTAGCTGGATAGTTAATAGAAGCAGCCTTGTCCTTGGAGGCCAATATGCACTGACTGCCTGTGTCTTTGGTTCAGGTCCATTAAAAAATTTGAGCATTAATTAATCACTGACTTGCAAATAGCTTGGAAGGGCTGTTCAGACTGAATTGGAATGCTCTGCAATTGTTTTACTTTTGGTCATAGGCACTTCAGTGATGTGAAACTTCCTCCCCTGCCAGGATAGGATGTACATAAATCCAGTGGCCACTCCTGTGTTGGATCAGACCAGTCTAGAGACTATTTCAAGCAGCTCCATTTCTTTCTCTAACTAGGAAACTGCACATGTGAGGAAGAGTTGTTATAGGCAGCACTCTGATAGAACTCCTCCACTGAAAAGGAAATAATAAAACCTACCAGGGCAGAATGCCAGTGGAGCATAAACCATGGGCAAAGACTTCCCCTGCCCGCTGTCTTCTAGGCCAGTCCAAAACAACTTCTCCTGTTCCAGCCAGCCAGGTGAAACCATAACTGCAGAAATCAAGCTGCTGCTTGAGCTTTCCATACATCACCTCCAAAAGGGATCTCTGATTTGGGGCCTGTTTTCTGTGCTCCAGCTGCTGATGGGCACAACGACTGAGCTGGGAATGGAGCAGCTCTGCCTGCAGAAGGCAGGGCAAGGCAAACCAAGCCAAGCAAATAGAGATGTTAGACCTCACACGTGAAACTTCTGTCATGTAAAGCACAAACCAAGAGTCTTCATGGAAAAGGAAACCAAGTTAGCATGATCTACAAATCATGGAGAAAAACATACACAAGGGAATCATAATCTCATTTGTATAGGGGCTCTTTCCTCACTGTAAAAATTGTTCTTGATAAATAAGGACGATAAATAAGCAGCTCTCAGTACAATGAGCACTAAGTGAGGAAAAAAATTAAAGGTGAAACCAAGGCGTGGGTTCTTGAAACACCAAAATACCAACTTAAGAAAATAAATAGCTAAACCTTAGAGCAATGAAAATGTTTTCCTCAGTGGCAAGATATATACTACATGTGTTTATGGCACAAAGCTGTTCCTTAGTAACAGTTAACCTTACAGGGCAAAAAAGAGCTTGTATTCTAAATGCTCAAGCCTGATAAGTCACTTTAATATATTTATCACCCTCCTTCCCCCAAATTTCTCTTTCAGTGGAGAAGTCAAACTAGAAACCCCAAATAAATAACAATTACTTTCCCTGCTCCCTGTTTCTCACTCTTATTGCCTCACAGTGTTCCCATATACATGGATAGTGAATAATTATGCCTCCTATGAAAATTTGCCTCTTGCTACCCTAAAGCTTCCCCAACTTCCAAAATGCAGTGGAGAGGTAAATAGGCAATCACAACTAATCTTTCTCCCTCTGCAGTGTTTCTAATCCTGTGGAAATTTCAAAAGCTGCCAAGACAGAATGACAAAATGAAATAAAACACCCAAGCCTGAAGTGTGGGCACTGGCTATTTGATTGAGCATGGTGACAAAAAGAAAAAGGAAAACATAAAAGCAGATCATAAGACCAGTCAGAACAATTCTACAAATGGCTGATACATTGAGATAGCCAGATGGATATGCGTTTTTTGAGGAATGAGACAGTGCTTCTATTTGAGCACTCAAAAATGCCAACAACTTTGTCGGTTTTGTTTTCAGAATTTGCTTTCTATTTCTTTGTCAACTGGCATTAAAGATCAGTCCCCCAGAAAGCTGCAGAACCTAATGGATCCTTTAGAGCCTTTTGGCTGCAGTTCAAAGGCAGAGAAGATGTTTTAACTCACTACCAAGGATGCACTTTCAACTTGCTATTAAAACAATAATACAAACACAGGGATAATGAGAGAATAAGGAGTGAAATGAAGAAAGAAATGGAAGACTGTGGAAGGGAATGGATCACAGGCTCTCCAGGACTAGTTCCTATAATAAGTGTGTGAGACAATCTCCTACAAGAGGGAAATGGCTTATTTGATCTAATGTCTTTCTCTTCTTGAATTTCCACAGTATGGAGAATCAATATGAGGGAAATTAAAGCATCAGGAGCAGACTCACATTTCCACTTGTGTGTTCCCATCTCAGCAAACTCTTAGTGAGATAGAAGTATTTACCTTAAGTGCCCAGTTCAAATGTGCTGCGAGGGGAGGATGGATTTCAAAAGGATACAGGCTTCTTCTGTGTAGGGGACAGCAGAAGCAGGTCCACCCAAGATGTAGCTGTAGAATGAGACCTCCAGGGTGTAGCAGTAGGATGTATCATTTAACAGCCCGCCAAGGAAACGCCGGCCCGTCCCTGCCTTCACAGCATCTCTGTTGAACGAGGTACTGGACTGCAGGAGGAAGAACACAGGGAGAACATGAGAGTTCAGGAGTGGAACAACAGAAGGGCTGGGAAGGAGCCTGTTAAAAGAGAAAGCAGCTTCATTCACGTTGTCCAATCTCATTTACGCTATAGGAGACTGAACTCTTTTCTGATTGTGGCCTGGAAAGGAAGCACAGTTCTGGCCCACAGGCTGTAAATAATGCCTCACAGACTTTCACAAAATTAATCTCAGTTCCCGAGCTATATCAGGTTTTCTCCTCCTGTTTTTGGATAACATAAAGCAAGCCTGTCATGTGCATGAGTTGAAAGTGAGCCTTCCAGATACCCCATGCTCAGAAGTTAAGCTGCACTCTTACTTGGATATTGGATTCCTTCTTCTCTACTGCATTCCCCTGTATCATAACCATTTCCCCCCACCTCTTAACCTGGGCTCTCTTAATCAAAGCAGAAATACAGTGGCATTTACGTTTTGGTGAAACTTTCTCACCTAAGACATTTGACTGGTTCTTAAACTAGGTCACAGAAATTTCCACTTCACTAACTTAAATGTTAACCGGGTGTTGCTCTCTGGGTGGAAAAATATACTGCACTATTCTACAGCATTAGCAGCACAGTATAAAAGGCAGTATTTTGTGCTATTACTGAAGATCTGGCTTTAAGAACCCTACAGCTTTATGACTATTCATTTGAGGGGTGGAGGGGAGGACTCCAAGTATTTCCATAAATGAGTTTTAGCTCTCCTTTGAAGGCATGACATCTGGAGACTAAAGGGCAGCTCATCTTCAGGTTGATTGAAGTCTCAGGGCTTGTTCCTACCAGCTAGACAGAAAAATGGATTCTGATTTCATTTTGATTTTCAGACTCTATTCACAAACTTCAGAACCATTAGACTGAGCCGATCTGGGTTCAGCACAAACTAGTGACATCCACAAAAAAAAAAAAATGATCCAACTTGGATGTGTTGTATAAAAGGTCATAATATCTCTGGCTGTAAGAGTTTTATGTTGTCGGTGAACATAAAGGACCCTTAACATAGCTTACTGTTCAGTCATTGTGCCCATGGTGAATTCTTTGAGCTATGCAGTGTCCTCCTATAGAGCCCTAAGGCTGGTATCTTTTCTTGCTAACACATTGTCAATATTTAGGAATTCCACCTCTTACCAAAACCAGGGAAAATAAGATTTCCTTTTCATTAAAAAAATTAGATGCAATGGTTCAAAATGTTACATTTCTCTAGACTGAGAAAAATCAGACTCAGACTGAAATGAGCAAGAATTCTTGATGAATAGTGTATGCCAGGAGATATAAAGAGCAGAAATACCTGTGGGTTTATTAACATTCTAAATGTCTTGAAGTCTCTCTCATTTGGAAAAAGGAAGGTTTTCCAGGTTAATTAGAATAGGATGGATTTGGTTTTCTTATTAGCATTATATATAGTTGTTTCCAAATGCAACTTGTTTTTGTGGTAACATAATATTTAGCTTTGTGGTAACTGGTACACAGAATGCATTCTGCTATGTACCTACAATACAATTTCCACCAAATTACATGACAGAAACCTTCAGGATATTCCGGATACCTGTGGGACAGGGAGGTAAAGCACTCGTAAGGAATGCTGGGGAACTTAACTGTTAATCTGATATATGGAATAAAAGACTTGAAGAGGTCTACAAGAGGGAATGTTCTCTGGCTTCCTGCAAAAGAAGCCTTCAAAAGTCTGCTGAGACCCTGAAACTGAGGGAAGCTTTGACTCCAGTTAAATTTCAGAAACATAAAGGGAGATGATCATGCTCTGGGGGGTTGCTTCCAAAGTCAAGTGAACATTGCCTTCAGAGGATAGTGCTTTGTGTTCAAAGAAATGCCTGTGGTGGAACTTTTAATGCATGACAGCATCAGCTGGACAGAGTCGGCTCAAAGTAAAGAGACAACTGATGTGTCAGGACAGGATATTGGGGTGTGTGTGCAGAAGCATCACTCACAAAGGGAACGAGCTAATTCTCTGTCTATATCTGGCACAGGGAAAACAAAGAAAATGTGGGAGAAGTGACTCAGTGAAGACGTTAGAGATAGAAGTACTTCAGTGAGTAGGAGACTCAGTTACTAATACGGACTATCTGTGAAAAGGATTATGGAATCTCATCAACTGTGTTTAAAAAAAAAATTGTAGAAGTATCTGCTGAGTCCAGTTCATGTCTTTGGGATACAGTTTCCACATAAAGTCCTTTTCCTATTTTCTATCATTTTAATCAGGCTAGGAGGTTATGAGTAGAATTCCTCATAGATGATTCTTGGGATAAATCTTACATAATATTTTCATCACAGTTCTTGGCACAGTTAAAGACAACCGTGCCAACAAAATTTGCTGATGACACACTGTGGAATGAATCATCATTATGGAGGAGGTTCTGAATATCATACAAATAAAAAAGCAGTGGGATGACTTGGAGGGTCAGAGCGATTGTAGTCAGATGAAACTCCGCTGCACAAGTGCCAGGTCATGCACTGAAACATAATAAAAACCAATCTCTTCTATAGGCTGAAACCTCATCAGCTGGAAACAGATGAAGAGAGAATCTGATGTGTTACTTCACTGAAGTGATTTTTGCTTTCTGGGAGAAGTTGAATGTAGTTATTGGCAAAATTATACTTGCTGTATATCAAAAGCGAAGCATAAGTAGCTCAAATAATTTGAAGAAGGTTTTGTAAATGTCCAGAAAAAAGAAAATTTGGATCTTTCCAGAGTTGGAATTGAATATTTTTTTTTTTTTTGTGGGTGTTTTTTTTTTTTTTCAACTGTGCAAAATTACTTGAAATGGCAATGGCATTAATAAAATCCCATGTTCATTTTTTTGCCAAGTAGTACTGCATTTCCAGGAATAAAAGGAAGCTGAACCTTCATTTAGGTGCACAAATGTAGATTTTGGAGGTTAACATTGTCCTCATTTTAAAAAAAAAATCTGATGGCATAAACCACTTTGATGTCTTGAGTGAAAAGTATAATCTCTCATTTGACTCCAAAAGGTTGGGGTAGAGAAAACATAACACATACATGTTTTGAAACAGAGGCTTGGCTCTAAAGCAAATATTATAAGCCAAAAGGTGATTTGATATTTTAGATGATAAGAAGAAAATTACAGATTAAAGAAAATTTAGGTAACAACAAGAAAGGGCAGCAGGTACTTATTGCTAGAGTCCAACCTTCTACTCACTATTTTAGGGCAGGATAAATGGAGTGCAGAAATAAACAGGCAAAACTTTGACTCCTCACCACAACTGACTTGGGATTTTGCAAGCATATTTATTTAATCAGACTCAAATCTGGGGAAAAGAGGGACGGGGTGGCAAGAGGGGGGCAAGAACATGGGTAAACTTGTCTGCAAATGAGCCTCTTGCTTTTCTGGGATGATCTATTACCGTAAACCCCTTGCAAAGCTGAACTGAACTCATCATTAAACAAATGCACTGAGCAGGCACAGCAGGAGAACAGCTAAACAAATATTTATTTCTCCAAGGCTGAAACACATGGAAGTGTCAACAACAGCAGCAGCAAGAAGTAAAGTCTGGAGGGTGGGGGAAAACCAAAGACTTTGAAGTTCTTAAATAGTGATATTTGTACAAAATCAACAATAATGCATTATTAAAACACACAGATACATTAAAGCTCACAGAAGGACTTGGCTTCCCGGCTGGTGTGAGAAAATTCAGTGAACAAATAGCTATCTACAGGATTAGGAGCAGCCAAGCAATCTAGTTTTAAAGGAGCAGAGAAGAAAGGGTGAAGGATTCCCTTACTTTCTGGCGGTAAGAAACCTACAAGAAAACCACCCTTGGATTTCAAACACCCTTGGGAGCCAGAAGGTGTGCTGACCCTTTCTCTGCATCTCAGGCATTAGTGGCAGCTTCCCCAGGCCTTCCTACCAGATTTCATTCCTCCTCCCCATTCTGAGCTGAATACCTTCTGAGGGGCCAGTTTCCCCACTGGGAATGACAGGGAATGAGCAGCCAGGCAGTACAAAGACATTTGTGAACCAATTGGACTGTATTCAGACATTGCAGCAGACTAAGATGCTTGAAGGGAAATTAAAAAAAAAACAAACACAAGGCATGTAAGTTCTTTCTGGAGTGGTTTCAAAGCAGAAAAAACCCCTTGGTCCTTACTCAGACCTCTCAATGTGCCAGAACCCCTGTCTCCAGGGCAGTCTTGTCTCTTGGCTGCTAAGGACACTACCACTCACTGTCTCTCCTCAGTGAATTCAGCCCCCTGGTAGCCAGCTTACAAGCTCAACAGCTTAGGCAGCTCCCATACAGCTGAGGGATACTCTTGGTTTCTCAGCACTGCTCAATCTTCCTGCTAAAAATCACTGGAATGAATGCCCTGAGCAGTCCATGTTCACAGCCTAAGGGCAGGTGGGTTGCTGATTGCCTCTGCATGCCTGTATCAATCGGTCACAAGAGCTCTTCCAAAAAGCAAAGAAGGAGAACATCGTTTCCCACACATCTGAAATCGAATTTCGCCCAAGTTCACCCCTTGTAATCCGGGTGAACTTGCAGTCTGAGTGGTTCATCGTGGTGGGAGCTTCAACTGGTGGGATTTCCTCCCCAGTGTGTGTGGAAGGGGACAACTTCAGAGGGGACTTGTGTCGCTTCTGTATCAGAAAACCTCAGTTTGCACGAAAGGAAAAGTTGGAGGCAAAACCCCGTAAATCTGGCTCCACCTTTCAGTGCAAGAAGAGGTGCCAAAAAAGGCTGAAACGTCAAGCAGGCTGTGTCCAGCTGGTGATGGATGGGAGCTTCTGTTCTACCTTTTACCGATGGCAGGACAAAGGGACTCTCTCCTACAGAACTTGTTGGGGAATTCATCTTTGTCATCTTCTGAAATTGCTCAACACGTTAAGAAAAAGGGGAACAACATATGACCACAGTGCAAGTCAAACCTTGCCAGGATCCTGTCATGGGAACCAGGGTATGGACTGCACATCATTTATGATCCACCCTAAGGTGTTTCTC